ATACCAGCATGCAGTCAGGGTCAGTTTCCAATCCAGTTCCTGCTAATGCGTCCTGGGGGCAGTGGATGTTTGCCCGGGCTCCTCTATTCCACATGAGAGATCCACATGGAGTCCTAGGCTCCTGATTTCGCCTGGCCCAGCCCTGGCTGCTACAGGATAGATCTCTCCCTCCCCCTCTCTCTCCATTACATTGTGTTTCAAGTAAATGAAGATAATGATTAAGAAAAAATAACCCAGTAAATCCTCTTCCTTCACAAATGAGGTGATGTGTGGGATGTGTTTCACAGCCACCTGGGAGGTCAGAACAGGCTGACTGGTACTGCAGGACAGGACGGAGCCCCTGCGGCAGGACGGCAGCTGCTGCCTGACAGTACAACAGGGCTTATCATAGCATTTTTCTCTATTCCTATAAGTGTTTAACATTTTTCACAACTTGGGCTCAGAGCGGTAGCCTAGTGGCTAAAGTCCTCGTCTTGCACGTGGTAGGGTCCCCTATGGTTGCCGGTTCTAATCCCGGCAGCCCTGTTTCTCATCCAGCTCCCAGATTGTGGCCTGGAAAAACAGTTGAAGGAGGCCCAAAGCCTTGGGACTCTGAACCACGTGGGAGACCTGGAAAAAACTCCTGGCTTCTGGATTTGGATTGGATCAGCTCTGGCAGTTGTGATCACTGGGGGAGTGAATCAATAGACAGAAGATCTTCCTCTTGGTTTCTCTTCTCTGTAGATCTGACTTTACAATAAAAATAACTTTTTAATCCCATTCTACTTTTTAAGAATTAGGAGGAGGGAAAGTGAAAGCTCCCAACTGCTGGTTCACCCTGCAAAGGTCCACAAGCACCAAAGCCGGGCTAGATCAAAGACAGGAATCCCAGGGGTCTCCCACCTGAGCAGCAGGAACCCAACTACGTGGGCCACTATCACTCCCTCAAGCCCTCCATCAGCAGGACCTCAGCACTGAATCCAGGAGGAGGGCATCTGAGATGAAGGCATCTGAACTGCTCGGCTAAACAGTTACCCTCCTCATTCTGCTTTTTTCACATTTTTAAAATCAGTATTATTTTTATTTTGGAAAATGCATACCGTATAAAGAAATTCACATGTTCCTTGCATGCTGATCTTCCTCTATGTTTTCTGAACAAATATACTTGACCTAACAGGGTCAAAACATCATGGTCAATGCTTACCCCATCTTCAGTGTAACTACTGTTCATGCTCTTAAAGACTGTTCAGTGGGCCCAGCATGGCAGCCTAGTGGCTAAAGTCCTCGCCTTGCATGCGCCAGGATCCCATATGGCCGCTGGTTTGTATCCCAGCTGCTCCACTTTCCATCCAGCTCCCTGCCTGTGGCCTGGGAAAGCAGTCAAGGACAGCCCAAAGCCGTGGGACCCTGCACCCATGTGGGAGACCCAGAAGAAGCTCGTAGCTCCCAAATGCGGATCAGCTCAGTTGTGGGCCATTTTGGCCACTTGGGGAGTGAATCATCGGATGAATGTTTTTCTCTCCTCCTCTCTGTGTATCTGACTTTGCAATAAAATTAAATAAATCATAAAAGAAATTCAATATCTTAAAAAAAAAGGCTTCTCTGTAAGAACAAGTGTGGACTTAAAATAAAACCTGCCCAAGAGCACACAGGCATGAAAGTGCAAAGCAGGCAACAAACCAATGACACAGATCCTCTTCACAGTTGGCAGAGCTTGGGTGAAAGATCTCGAAAGTGTAAAGCTGACCTTCCTAATACTGAGACAGATCAGGACAGGGGGTGGGGGTGGGGGTAGTGTGGGTAGTGTGATACATTCATCTCTGCAGCCTCCAGGACCACAGATGACCAGAGCTCCCGTGGCCAGTGGTCTTCTGGGGACAACCTCCAGTGTTCACCAGTGACAAAACAATGACTTCCAAATAAACCGTATGAAACAGGTTTGGGAAGTGCTAGTTTAAACTAGACCTACCTTGTTCATCATTATTCAGAGGCTTAATCAAGGATACTCAGAGGTGATAAATATTACAATGCAGTCAAAAACACTGGTGTGGAAAAAAGAAGTAATACTTATATTATAGGTTTGTATCAGATATCAAAGATGGGTGGCTTCTCTTTTGGTTAGGGCCCATACAGATATCTGTAACATCATTTGGGAGCCATACAAAGTATCAACTTAAAAATTAGCTTGCTATAGATGTGTAGGAGGACACTGTGACCAAAGAGGATCAGTGAGCACAGGATTACCGTTGATTGGATAACATTTGCATGAGAACAACTGAATGGCTACCTTTTGTATACCCGACTGGATATCATTTATATAAGACCAGTTGAGTGGATAGTATGTGTGTGAAAACACTTGGTAGAATATATAAGACAAAAGGAGTTCCAAGCAAAAGCATAGAAACTGTTACTGGGTTTTGTTGATGAGCTCAACACTTCCTCCCTTAACCCATACGAGCCTCAGTGTATAAAGTCTGATGCCACTAATAAACCTCAGCTTTGGCCATCAGTCAGGGTCCATGCATGTTATTATCGGCTCCGTGCACCAAGTCCATCACTGCGGGACAGTGACACAGATGTATTGAATTTTGAGTCCCACCTAGGGGTTTTATAGTTTCTTACTTCTGCTATATATAATTTGTATCCGTTTTATACTCTACTTAGGAAATCTCCAGATACATTCTAATAGCACTCAATGAAGTAACCCCTAAATATAATTGTTAGCTTGATGGCACAAAGCTAAACTCTGGAGACAGAAATACAACTGGACTCTACATTCCAATGCTACAAGTATTCAAGATAAATCTGAGATAAATTTGCTAAAGTTAGGAATGGAAAATATTAATGCAAGCTCAGAGGTATAAAGTTCATCTTTTAAATGGCAAAAACCAAAAACACCTAAAGCCCAAATTATTTCTCCAGCTTTATTTCAGCTGAACTGGCTCTTCTGGCTCCCAGACTGACCTTCAGGACACTTTCAGACAGCCCCTCCTAACTCTGCCATTTAATCTTTCTAAAACCATAAAGCAACGTCCAAGTACTTCCTGCTCTCCAGGGAAATGGACTCTTGTTAATCTGCAACTAGAAGATCACTATTTGAGGACCTGTAATTTCACTTCATCTCACTATTTAATCTTAATTTGTAACACTTAAATACACGTTCCTTTATTAGAGCTTGCTCACATTTGTGAAATAACAAGGCAACGCTTTTGATCTTGCACAAATGAAGACATACCTTCAAAACAAGCTATGAAGCTCATTATATGAGTATCTGGCAGAAGGGGACACACACTGTGCTTGATCAAAATCTATATAAATCAGCCATGTGTGAAATGTACTCTACGTAAGAATGAGCAACACCACCACCAGAATTCCCTTCCTTGTACAAACAAACTAGACAGAGCAGTCTGAAACTTCAAAGAAGATGGGAGACTGGTGCAGCAGTAAATATAGGAACAGGCTGAAATAGCACCAGCTGAAGGAAGAAGTGGAAGGCAAAAGAGATAAAACAAACAGGCGGACAAGATATTTGCATAAACTCTTCAGATTCACAAAGCATCTCTAATCAAAGTGCCAAGACTCATGGAGGAAACTGAATTATCCTATCAAACAAAATCTCTGCCTTCCTTACATTTCTCTCACCAAGTTTCAACAAGAAAAAAAATATAAACATTCCTTCTCCAGGAAAAAAACCAAACAAACAAACAAAAAAGGCTCACTCTGCACAGTACTGCTTCGTAACAAGCATCCACACCTCTCCAAAACCACGAAAAGTCCTGGACCCCAAATAGGTCTGCAACAACTGCCACGACCTGGATTTTCAAGGATGAACCCTTAGATGAGGGAGCTCCAGGCACCTACAGAACAAGTGATGTCCAACTGGGGCATATTAGAAAAGGGTAACTCATTTAAGGTGGAATTTCCGTATTTCTGCAGAATCCATGTCCCACCCGTGAAATGGCAGTAATAAACCAAGAGCAACACAGGCTGCTTCTCAAGTCTCCCTGGGAATTCTCGGCCCACCAGGTCACCGGACTCACTAAGCAGCATTTACAAAACCTTCCCCACTCCTTACAGATTCGCCCCTACCTCCATTCTTCAGGTCTTAGGTGGACAGAAATGAGAGAACTTGCCAAGACTCAGTCACCACACATCCGGGAGTCTTTTCAGCCACTTAACAAATATTTGTGGGGCTATCAAGTGTCGCACCCCTACCCCCCCCCCAGCCCAAAAAAGTCTCAAGGAATCATAGAACAATGTCGAGTACAGGGCTGGGGCAGGGGGGCGACGAGGGAACGCCCATGACCTCAAGACTCACCTAGCTCACAGCATCCTAGCTGGTGTCCCTGCTACAAACCCCTTCTTGCATTTCACAATTCCCATTTCAAGAAGTCTGTCTCCACCCGACAGGCTTCAAAGACCCCTGCCCATTCAAGCTCTTCCACAAATCCTCTATAGGTCGGCTTACCACGGTTCCACCTTGTTTTGTGTTCAATATGGCTCTCTTCTGTGAATCTCTTTCAGATGGGGCAAAATCCGGACGCATACCTAGCTCAACTTCCTACTCCTCTAAAAGCTGTTCTCTGTCAACACAGGCCCCTTCCTCCTCAAGACATCCTTTCAGACCCTGCCTTCGCCTTCTCAACACGGGGCAGTTTCCCAGGGTACTTTTGATATTACCATAGCAAACATGTTCCTCTTCCCAACCACCCTTACTGCAATCAGGGAAGTAGCCTGCAGTTCGGGCATAGGAGTCCCAACATCGCATATCTTGTGAGAGGAAGAGAGGGTTCAGGGAGGTCGTAAACTATGGAGGGGAACAAGCCAAAGAAGAAGGGAAGGCGCTGGGCGAGCACACGGGGAACGGATCCCCCCCCCCCCGGGGATGGACAGAAGGACAGCCGCGGTCTCCCCGGGGAGGAAGCACGGACAAGGACGGGGCCGCCAACCCTGGGAAGGGAGGCAGCTTCCACGTCAAACAAAGACGCCGCGAGTCGGAAGGTGAGGTGGAGAGAGCATACCGAGATCCGGGCATCTCCACAGGTCTAGCGGCGAGGGAACGAGAAGGGACCCGACGCGTGCCTCGGGAGATGCGGTTGCCAAGTGGGACGAAGTGAGCGGCCAGGACGGCTCTGGGGCGAGCGTTTATGGGGTCCAGCTTCTCCAGGGGCGCGGGGGCGGGGAGGTGTTCCTGAGTAGGATCGTGTCCCAAAAGGATAAACGTTTCCCAGGGCAGTGCTCTTCGGAAAGAGAAGTCCTGAGGATGCGAGAAGCGTTAAGCGGTTGCGGGACCAGCATTTCCCATCCCCAGTCCGGCTTGCCGACACACTCACCGCGTCTCCTCCAAACGCCACCGCTCCAGCTGCAGCTACCGGCTGGCGCAGCCGCACTGGAGCGCGCCCCGCCCCACGTGACTGCCCAGACCGCCCCTCCCACATGACCCGTGGACACGCCTTCCTGACGTCACTGTTCTTCACGCGTCTCGGCCCGCCCCTCCCTCTGGGGCAAGATGGCGGCGCGCAGCCGTAGCATGCCGGGGCTCTGGGGTAAGGGGATTGGTCTGCGTTTGGGATGCTTCTTCACTATCACTTCAAAGTCATTTTGTTCGGCTACTGCTGCGTCTAAGCCTCTGGATGCTCAACAATTAGCAGAGAGACTCCGAGCCCAGAAACGGGAAGAAGAAAAGAAGGAGCGGGTAAGGACCACAACTCCCAAGAGGCAGTTCGCTTGCCGGTTTCTTTGGCGGGGAGAGAGGCTTGCAGGAGGGTCTTCTGACAGTAAGTTCGTGTTGGACACCTCGAGGAGAGAGGTAGGCAGGGGCGCGGCGTCCTCCGTGCCTCTGCCAGAGTCAGCCCTAACCACCAGGCGGCCACGCAGGTAAGACCGAAGTTGCCTCCATTCTGATTGCCCAGCCAGGTGCGAGGCAAAGATGGACACGCCTTTCCCAGACCTTGTTAAAAGCTTTTCTCACCAGATGTTCTCCCTGCCTCTTGGCTCTCAGGTGCCCACAAACCGGGTTCAGCGAAGAGTGCAGGAATTCCTGCGGTTCACAAAGCAGCTACAGCGAGTCCACCCAAACGTGCTGGCCAAGGCACTGAGCCGAGGGATTCTCTACCAGGACAAGGACCTTGTAGTCATCAATAAGCCCTATGGGCTCCCTGTGCATGGTAAGGGCCATGTACAAAGGGGAGAGGGAGTCGTTGCTGCTTTCGGCTGTTGGGGGAAACTGCCCTGTCACTTGTGATGAAGACTTTGCATAATATTATCCCGCTGAAGACACTGTAGATAAGTAAAACAGCTCTCACCTTCCACACAATGACAGCAGTGAATTCCCAGGATGCCCACGTTGTATTCCCCCCACAGGTATCGCTAAGATGGCCTCCAGGTTAATTTCCAACCTAACTGGTTAAGAGGAAACAATATATAAAGAAGTATTTGTGGGTTAGTGTATACCTAAATGTAAAAACCCCAGAGTGCTTGAAAGTGAATGGATACTGAGATGTGCTTGAATAAGTGTTGAATGTATGGAGAAAACTTTTAGGAAAAAAAATGGATTTGTGAAAGAGTATTGCAGAGAGAGAGGTATATTTTAGCTACAGGAAAATGTTGCTTCTGGGAAAAGTATAGAGCTGAGCTGATCCGAAGCCAGGAGCCAGGAACTTCTGCCTGATCTCCCACGTGGGTGCAGGATCCCAAAGCTTTAGGCCGTCCTCAACTGCTTTTCCAGGCCACAAAGATGGGAAGTGGAGCAGCTGGGACACGAACCAGTGCCCATGTGTACTTGGAGGTGGAGGATTAGCTAGTTGAGCCATTGAACCAGCCCCCTAGATAGTTACATTTTATAGATAAGAAAACAGTTGGGAAAATAATCTGTTCACGATCAAATGACAAGCGAGCGTAAAGTAGAACGCAGGAATGTCTGACTTCTAAGCTGGTCCATATGGGCTTGCCAAGTGTGTTTGAAAATAGCACATGCTCTGGGACAGTGCTTCCCCCAGTTTAATGCGCTTTTCAATCATCTGGACACTTGATAACGTGCAGGTTTGAATCTGGATTGGAAGCCTGAGATCTCCATTTCCAAGCTCCCTGCACACAGCTGTGGTGCTAATCTCTAAACTGCACTAATAGTACTAAGGAAACATGAACTGTTCATCTGGGGAGGACTTTTTTTCTCAAGAATTGTTACGTGAGGACCCCTCCTGGCTTTCCCCTCTTCAGGTGGCCCCGGGGTCCGGCTGTGTATCAGTGATGTACTGCCTATCTTGGCAAAGATACTTCGTGGCCACAAGGCTGAGCCCTTGCATCTGTGCCATCGGCTGGACAAAGAAACCACGGGTGTGATGGTGTTGACTTGGGAGAAGGAAATGGCACATCAAGTCCAAGAGTTGTTCAGAACGCGTCAGGTGACAAAGAAGTACTGGTAGGTGGCCCACAGATGAGGTAGGAGGGGTATTAGTGAAGGCAGCCCTTGCATACATTCTCGCTATGTGCGAGGAACTCCTGTAATATGAGAAGGCACCATATCTTAGTGAGAATATAAAAAGTTGGTGACACAACTTTGGTATTTAGAAAATTAAGAGCCTGGTAGAATAGTAGTTCTTAATTCTGGCTATACATAAAAATCACCAAAAATTAATTATGTAAGTATACTCATGGTTTCGTTCCTGTGGCAAAATAGTTAAACTTACAAAGATAAAGCAAAAACATGAAACCCTAGAAAACCCGTCCACTCTGCCACTACAGTTCCTTTCCTTGACATGGCACGCCTGTGATCAGTTTGGGTTTCATTCTTGCAGCTATTTACTGTGTGTTTCTGTCACATATGTACATATATCAGACAGCTTAGGCTGTTGGCTTAACTCTGTGTGTTGGGGATCTTTCCCATGTGATATAAAAAGCTCTCCTTCATTGCTTTGTTAATTGTCTGAGAAGCATTGAGAGAAAGTTCTTGTCTGCTAGATCATGCCCCAAATGTGTGTTAATGACAAGCTGGGCTGGGGTCCTGGCTGTGGCCAGCAGAGCAGTCGGGGTCTCATGGGTGGCAGGAACTCAGTTACTTGAGCCATCACTTCTGCCTCTGAGGGTCCATGCGAGTGGATGCTAGAGTCCAGACTGCAGCCAGGGCTGTGGGCGTGTCTCTGCCCATTCTTGACCATTAGAGTAAATGCCTACCCCATAGAAACTATCTCCTTCCTAATGGGTCTTTGGTATTTCAATATGTGGATGGATAGTTAGTTGATTTCTGACCTTTCCAGAGCCTATGGCAAACAACATGTGAATATATCCTTTTTTAAAAAAAAAATTATTTTATGTGACTGTATCTTTAAATTTCTAGAAATGGAATTGATGGATCAAAGGGCCACAAAAAAAAAGGCTGTGTGTGAGACTGACACTGTGATACAGTTAGCAAACTGCCACCTATAACACCAGTATCCCATATGAGTGCTAGATTGAGTTCCGGAGTGCCAGTTCTGAGCTAGCTTCTTGCTAACATAATTGGAATATCCGTGGAAGTTGGCCTAAGTCCTTGGGAGCCTTGGGTGGAGCTCCTAACTTGGCTTCATCCTGACCCAGCCCTGGCCATCACAGTCATGTGGGTTGTGAACCAGTGGATGGAGATCTCTGTCTCTTCCTTCCTCTCTGTATACCTCTCTGTAACTCTGCCTTTTAAATAAATCTTAAAGCTATGCTATATTTGTTTAAAGACAGAGAGACAAAGATCTGTCCACTGATTTATTCTCCAAATGGCCACAATGGTCAGGATGGGGCTGTGCAGAAGCCAGGAGCTCCTTTTGGTACTTGCACATGGGTGCAAGGTCCCGAGTGCTTGGGCCATCCTCTGCTGCTTTCCCAGGCATGTTAACAAGGAACTGTTTTGGAATTAGAACATCCAGGACAAGAACCAGCACCCATATTGTTATCGCATGCAACAGCTTTAACGTAAGTAAAATTGACATTGATTTTTCTTCCTTTTTTTTTTTTTAATTTATTTTGAAAAGCAGAGTTGACAGAAGAGGAGAGGCAGAGAGAATCATCTGGCTTACTCCCCTAGTGGTTACGACAGCAGAGTCTGGGCCAGGCAAATGCCAGCAACTTGGAGCTTCTTCCAAGTCTCTCATGTGGGAGACCCCCAAAATTTACTATCTTCCCTGATGCATTAGCAGGAAGCTGGATCAGAAGTGGAGGAGCTGGAATTCAAACCTGTGCCCATATGGGAAGCCAGTACCACCAGTGGCAGCCTTACCCATCCATTACAACACAACACTGGCCCCTGATTTTTCTTTAAAAACTCGACAGAATACTCTGATGTGAAATTAAAGAACACCTGTAATAAGAGCTTATTGATAATGGAGGAATTCATTGAAGTAGCTTAAAGTCCGTGAAGGTCTGTGTTCTGTTCTCAGTAATCTGTGAAGGTAAGGCTTGGTGACCATTCTTTTTATCAATCTTCTAGAGGATTTAACATCAATGAATTAGATCTTGATGAATGAGTAGGATTTGATAGGGGAGTTGGAGAAACGTGTTCTAGATTGTGGGAATAACTTGCACAAAGGAGTATACCTTGCGGTCCACTTTGGGGTAGGGGTAAGGGAGGTAACGCCGGAAAGGTAGGCCCCTACCCAAAGATTTTTCTTCTTGTATTTGAAAGGCAAAGTTAACGGGTTTTCCATCTGCTGGTTCATTCCCCAGATGGCTGCATTGGCTGGAGCTGAGCCGGTCTGAAACCAGGAGCCTCTTCTGGGTCTCCCAGGTGCTTGTAGGGGCCCACATACCTGAGCCATCCTCCACTACTTTTCCAGGCCATAAGCAGGGAAAGTTGCATCAAAAGTGGAGCAGCCAGTCCTCAAGCTAACACCTATATGTGACGCTGGAACCAAAGGTAGAAGCTTAGCCTACTGTGCTGCAGTGCTGGCCCCTAGTTCATTTAAATAGGATAAACTGGATTGGGTACTAGACAAACTGTCACCAACTAGAAACATGTGTACAGCATGTAAAGTGGTGTGTTTGATCTGAGTGGATTATTTTGTTTTGTTTTGTTTTTAAAGATTTATTTTATTTTTATTGGAAAGGCGGATATACAGAGAGGAGGAAAGACAGAAAGGAAGATCCTCTGTCCGATGATTCACTCCCCAAGTGAGCGCAACAGCCGATACTATGCCGATCCGAAGCCAGGAGCCTCTTCCGGGTCTCCCGTGCGGGTGCAGGGTCCCAAAGCTTTGGGATGTCCTCGACTGCCTTCCCAGGCCACAGGCAGGGAGC